ATTTTTGTAACTGTTATAATAATATCAATCTTTGGGTATACAGCAACAGTAAGAGGCAATGTGAGCTAGTGCTGTTGAGCTAATCCTTTTTTGGTAGGAATGCTGTAAGATCTGCTCCTGCCCTATCTGCTGCTGTGTACCCTGCTTCTTCCCTGTTCTGCCATGTGCCATCTGTAAAATGGTGGAAATGACATTTGTCTTCTCAGTATATCATGCTAAGCTTATACAGTTGAAAGTAACACCACAGACAATGTGAGTATTTTTGTTATGACTACAGAAATACTATTTGGGAGTGGTTCTTTGAGAAAACATGTTCTAGTGATTCACAATGTTTAAAGAAGATGGAATTATATAAAAGAATAATAAGCCTGGTCTTCCTGAGACTCACTGCTTTAACTTAATTTAGCACAGGATAATGTCTAGATAATTAAATGCTCATCTCTTGCACATTTTTAATTTTATTAAAATGATGGGCATTCTTTTTGTTTCTCTGTCCCCTCGGTAGTATATCTAAAGAGAAGGAGACATTAGTCCATTTACCTTCCCAAATATCTAACCTGCCTCAATTAACTGATTCACAAGATTGCTCTTTCTTATTTGGTCAGGAAAGAAGGGTAGGCTAACCCATTCCTCAGGAAGAGGTTTTGTTGGTATTACTTTCTTCATTTTTTTATTTTCTAAGATTTAAAAGTCTGTGGTAATGAGTCTTCATCTTACTACATTTTCAGTACAGAATGCTCTGCAACATGACTCTGATCTGATTCCCATGACTTTCTATGGAAGGTTGAATCACTGCCACTATTACTAGCATCCTGCTAGCAGCCATACATTAACATTTCTTGTATTGTTTCACATTTGTTAAACACTGCTTTATGTCATTTATTAGGGCCTGCAATGGACTCATTTTTTAGAATTGTTTGGAAATGTTTCAGGGAAATATTTTTGGTTGAATAATGCCAGGTGTTAAAACCAAGACTAATGGTAAGAAGGACTGGTTTGAAGAATTTCCCTTATAAAAATAATTGGAGAACAAGTGAAAATGTAATTGTTGAAACATATCAACATTTTCAAAACAAGAAGTTAAAATTTTGGACTCAGACAGTAATTCACTTTCATTCTGAAACAAAAAAGGTGTGGAGGGGGGATGAGACAAGGGTGAAAAAATTGGCTTTGATAACACTTGACATTTTTTAAAATGAAAAATGTATGATATCCAAGGTCTTTCTTCAGGTGTTTTGGTACATGAACATTTTAAGTTTGAATTTGGGATAAGAAATAAATGAATGCTAACAAACATTTCCTTTGGGTTTTATAGAGCCAACTGGAATTCTGAGATGTAAGGTCAAACTAGCACATTCCTATGATGCCTTGCCCTGATCTTTCATTTTCATTTTTTCCACCACTGTTTTTGAACTGCTGTCAAACAATTTAGAAAGCATGCTGTTTAGCACTGCAATCATGATCATTATTAAAATAAACAGGTTGATGCACATGCATTAAAAACTGTGCAACCAGATGGGTTGGGGTCAAAGGCTTCCAAGGGTTTCAGTGCTATAGATAGAGGAAATGCAGACGAATAAATATGAGCATACAGCTACTGCAGCAGAACATTTATTTTGAACTTCTTCATTTGGTAGAGTGCTACTTCAGGGCTTGGTCAACTACCAGTGATTGTTGTGACATGATAGGGATGCAGAACAGGAATGAGCAGCAGTGACAGCATAACTTTAGGATGTAGAAGGCTACTTTTTCTAGAAATCTATTTATTGCCTTTCTTAGAACTGCAGCAAGAGAAACCAACATGAGAGTTCTCCTCAGAGTAGAGATGGCCATCAGAAGCTTATTATCCCTGATTGCTACTGGTCAGTAGCTCAGCAGTGCAGCCTTGGTATGTTATTTATCCAGGTTGTTGTCATAGATGTTTGCAATACTGTTCAGAGGGTACTGTTTTAATGGAGCTTATGGCTTACACTGCATAAGAGGTTAAGAGAATACTAGTGATGGGACCCATATGCCTACTCTCTACCCCTTTGGCCCAACTTCATCAACTCCAGTGGGCACCAAGGCCTAGTTCATAACTGTTGAAGATTCAGCAAAGATAATATTGGATGGCCAGGAAAGGTCCATGATGCCTGGATTTTTAGAACCTCTTGCCTGCTTTCTGGAATGAGCAAGGCAAAACATAGCTTTCCAGGTCACTATGGACATTTACGGAATTATAATTCTTCCAATCTCTCAGGAAGATCCTACTTACCTTTGGCTTAAGAAATGTGTTACAGGATACTTGGACAAGAGAAAAACTGGAGGATGGAGGGGGAATTGTGGGGAACATGAAGCAAATGAGTAATTGTATGCACACCTGTTTAGTCAGTCCTTGTGATGAAGAATGTCACTGAGAGGCATGCCCCTGAAAACACAGAGGAGTTTTGTTTAAACATAGAATACACAAACTATAAAGGTATTCAGCACTTACTTCCCTGGATTATGTCCCCTGAACTGGTCAAAGAACAGAAGGAGAATCCTTGCTATATGGATAGCACTGAGAAGGCTGCAGCATCTTGAAGTGTGCATGCTAAAATAGAGAAGTATCTTTGCCATAAATTCACTTTAATGATGATTCTGGTGAAGTGCAAAATCACTGTAAAATAAATAAAACTGCACAGCAATTGGTTTGAAGAAAAATTGTAAAAATGCTGAGGAAATGTTTAAAAATAGACAAGACTGGCTTGCATTTATTATGCACATTGGGAATATCTCTGCAGCCTGATTTTGACGTTTATTTTACAAAATTAACTGTAGCTAAACTTTCAGTGTACTGCTATATTCTGACCTAAACTCCATTGTCATGCTTTTTCTTTTGCTGCATCTGTGTCTACAATAAGCATACCTGCTGAGCCTAGTGTTTGATTTCTTTTTTAATCCCTGTGATGATACTTTAAGTAGCAAAGTGAGTGGAGGTCTCAATCAACCAGTAGAGGGAGCAAGTATCAAACAGCTTGGGAAGAGGATGGCATGTTTGGCCAATGGTTGTTCAAGCTGCAGAAATTTGAAGAAATAAAAGCATTATACTGTTAAGTCTCTGGCATAAAGTTGCCATTTGGATCACAACATGTGGTGTGTTTGAGGTTGGAGAGCAAGTTAAAAGCTAAACTAGAACTTTTTACCTCTGCCCAATAAAGAGCAACCAGAAAAATCCACATTTGCAGTTTTATTGGGTTATGAGAATTAATACTTACAGGTAGAACTCTTTTCTGTGGCAGGTTAAGACAAGCTGTCAAACTGGGGTGAAATATGAGCTGCTGAATCATACAGATCATAGCTGACCATAAAAATCTCCTTCTGATTAGATCCCAGGTATATGGGGTTTTGCCACAGTTTATTGGATGCTTGATGGGAAGCTGTGCACTACATCATTCTTGGGTACAGTGGTGACACTGTTTGCAAAAATATGGTTCAGATCCCTATAGGATAGGCAACTTTGGGGAGTAGAATAACCAGTAGTTCTGTTTTCTTCCTAGATTCAGAAGCACTGGGCTGGTATGACTTCTCTAATAGGTATGTTTTCCCGTGTGTGAATTCACCACATAAGGTGCACCTGACCTGACCTCATACAAGCATTTGAATGTGCAGATGACATCCACTTAGAGACAGTGGAGGATACACATATGCATAGACAGGTTGAACATGTGAAATAATGCAAAGTGGGCTAGCAGGAGACGGAAAGTGGGAAGTAGATCCACATGAATCTTAAAGAAGAAAACAAACCCACTATGAAATAGATTTCCTTCTGTTCCAAAATGGATTAGCTACTGAAACTTATCATGCCAAATGATTTAATGTAAAAAGAAAAGGTATGTGTGAGACCATGGCTTTTTATATGAACAAACTGAAGCTTACCCAGTTTAACATGATCATGTAGACAAGTTCTTAAATGAGTCCTGAACAAGAATATAAGTTATCAAGAAACATCTATTTTTGAACACTGACAGATGATTCACTATACAGTAGTGACAGATGTAGTTCAGTGAAGGACATTGTCGAGCTTCTGAACCAATTAAAGTGAAAATATTCTTGTTAAAATTAATGAATTCAAGGTAGTTACGTGATGCAGTATTACTAAGTTTTCTCCTTCCCCAACACATACACATTTTTTTTCTACTAACTAAATGACTTGCTTAACTTGTCAATTGCAACGAGTCTTCTAGTCATTAGTGATAAATTAGCAGGGTCAGTTAATTGTCGTGGTAACTTTAGGTTGCAAATATGTTAAGAAGGAAAAAAAAACACAACCAGACCCGATTCTGTTCTCAGTTATAATCTGTGTATGTGAAAGTAACTTAACTGAAGTCAACAGAGCAACACCAACAGGAAATAGCGTAAGAAATGAGACTCTAGCCCATGGTATAGACAGGGACAGCTTTCAAAGAATGGAGCAGACTTTATTTTATTGTAAAGGCTAGAATGTAAGTTACATATCTAGATGGAAGTCGTTCTGAAAATGGGTATATGAAATTTACCATAGATTCTATGCCAATTGGCATAGCTGTGAGTGTACAGTGGGCCAGGTTGTGGGGAATGAGACTAAGAGATAATAAAAATAAGTAACTTCATGGAAGGGGGAGAACAGGAGGAGGGGCTAAAATGAGATAAGTCAGGTGGTTACCTCTTTCAACTCTACTTGTCAGGCACTGGTTTGATAAAGGAATTGAGTTTCACCACAAAGGAACAGCCATTCTGTTCTACCAAGTTACAGTTTACCACTTACTGGCAATCTGTCAATCAACTGAGACCTGCCATGCAAACTACATCTCCATTAGTATGTCTAGAATTTGTGCCAGCCCTATTATACATGCTGTGCTTCTACAGTATGTATTTTAAAGTCTGCTCAGTTGCAAAATAGCCGCAGTATAAATAGGGTAAATGATTGCAGCGTAACAAAGGCGTTTGTGTGCTAGCAGTAAAAGGGTTAAAGTAAAACTGTTTTTAATACTGCAGTAGGGGGTTCTCTGTTGCTGTTTGAATCATTCACCAAGTCTATACAGAAACATGAGAGCCTTGGTGGGAGAGTATTGTATGCTACTAAAATGGTCTGTGGCTAAGGGACAACTTTACAGCATAAACAAATTATGAGGCTTCACACAGCTTAATAAGGATGCCAGCTTTTCCTGACATGAATCTGTAAACATTTTTATCAAACTTTTGTCAGCCACCTTCTGAAATTCAAATTCTCCAAGGTTGAACATTTACTTTTCCCATCTCTATTTCATATGTTAATTATTCTCTTGAAATGAGAAGCATCAGAAAGAAATGCTAGAGCTTCTTTTTCTTTTTTTTTCTTTTTTTTTTTTTTTGCTACAGAAGATCTGTACTGCACAGAGAACACACTTTAGACAATGAAAAATGAAGGTCAGTAATTAATAAGATTTACAAGAACATCCCTGTATAACATTGGTCTACAAACCTGGAAGAAACAACTTCCATTTGAATGTGTAGCTTTGCCCTGCTTTATCTTAAAAATACCAATTTGTTTCAAATGTCAGTCTTCTTTCTTGTTACAGAAGCAACAAGCTGTTTCTTACAAGAGCAACAGGGACGGTGTAGCATTTCTTGAAAGAAGAGAAGCATTGGCAATGCAAGGGAGAAAGTTTTGTTTTGAGCAATGGAGATAGATGAATCAGGACAAGGAGAGGAAGGGAAGACAGAAGAAAAGCAAAGGAGAATGGAGGGGTCTGAAATGAAGGCAATGTGATTAGAATTTTGATGAAGAGGCATTGACAAGATGAAAGATCTTTCTCTCTCACTCCCTCTCCCTCTCATTTCCAGTGGGTAAAATCTGTCCTGTTGACACACACTTGCTCTCTTTTTACAACACAACTCTGGAACAAATGGGATTCATGATCAATGGTAGTGGCATGGCCCCAATGACAGATCCCTGCCTGGGAGGATGGCTAAGCAGCTGCCTTTCTTCCTCCTTCACTCTTCACCAATTCAGGAATTTTCAAACTGTTGTGAGTTCTCTTATTTTATGATTCCTATAACTAAATAAAAATATGTACTGCATGTGACAACATATGTACATATCCCAGAGTGAAATGGATTTGAGGATTTTAAGCCTTCTGCCTCACAACATGCATCATTAAAGCTTATTCATCATGACTAAGGCTAAACCTCCATTGGTTGATATATCTCACTAATCAAAGAAGAAAGTATCATTGGGAAGGATCAACTTTCTGTTTGCCATATCATATTACCAATTCTTCAGTATTATGCACAGACTATTGTACCTCTGGGTGAAATTTCCATCTTTTGGGCATAAAGTCCATTGAAATTGTATTTGTAGGATCAAGGTCTTTGTTATGAGTATTGCAGATGAAAGTGTACATTCTTCCTCTGAAATACTGTCCTCAGAGGTTCAGTGTGGGACTTCACTATGCGTATAATATGGGCTTAGAATAGACTACTCAAATGCTTACATAGTTCAATGCATGTTAAAATACCTGAACCAGTTACTTCAACAAAATCTGGCATTACAAGTATGCAGGAACATTTTACAAGTGTTAAAGGTTGTTAAAGCCTGTATCTGAGACAAACAGTGCTTCCTGAACAGTCCTACACTCGTATTTATTTTGTTCTTCAGTAAAGAGCTCAGGTGAAATTCTGACCTCAACAAAATCAATAATAAAACGTCCACTAACTACAGGATTTCATTTTTGATCTTCTACTTGTGTCCAATTTCAGTAGGAATTTTGTCTGACTCGGAAGTCAGCAAGAAGTTAATTATACAATAATCTACCTCATTCACAGGGGCTGCATGGAGGGTGAGTTGATATTTATGCAGTATTTTGTAGCTATGAAGCAAACCGTACCTTCCAAATTTGGTTAGTGGGTTTACATTTAGTAGGAAGTAGAAAAAACAGTTTGATAGTGATTTTAAAAAGGTACTTCAAAAAGTTAGACTGTCTATATAGTAAATTTAAGCTATCTATACAGATTCTTGAGTGAAACCAAGAGCAATGCTGAGAGATAAGTCTCTATTCATACCTGTTCTACACATGCTCAAGCCCAAATTAATCAGAATAAATGGCTCAGATATGTGCTTGAGTGGTGGGCTTTGCAGCATCATATCTAGGCTCTCAAGCCATTTTTTACTACTTTTCAGACCTTGGTCTATGGTGTGCCTGGGGGGATCACTTGTAGCCTACACATCAGTGTTGTGTTTGGACCAGTTTATTCATGAAATATCTAAATCAGTTTTAATTAAAACATTTACTTACCTTGGAATAATTTTGTGTGAACGCTTCTATTTCAAAATAAAAGCTTAGAAAAAATTAACTTACATACAGACTGGCCTTCAAACAACTTAATGGCTAGGGACAGATATTACACATAAACCAGTTTAAATGATCAGAAGTTGGTTTTAACCTGTAAGAGAACAGATGTTCAGTGCACGTAAACCAGTTTCAAAATGGCTGAAACTGGTTTGAGATAAACTGGTTTGAGATAAACCTGGTTGAATGTAGTATTCAGCTTAACTGATTTGAGTCAAACCGGTTTATACAATGTCTGTCCCAGGCCCCTTGATGGTTTAAGATGAATCACAATCCCTCAAACATCCCAGCATGCTCTCTGGGCTGGGCAGGGCTCTTTGCTCCACAACTGGGCTGGCCCTCCCCCCTGCTCCCTGGCTGCAGCTCTGGCAGGGACTGCAGGCTGCTCACCCACCTCCCCCTCACCACTCCCAGCTAAGCAGCTATTTCCCCCTCCCCTCTGCCTTGCCAAGAGGTGTCTGTGTATTAGCTAGCAAACCACATGCTGGCTATGGTCCCTGCTGAATTAAAGGGTAGCTGGTGATGTCCCTCTGTTATTTTCTTATTGGGGTGATAAACACTGATTTAGGGGTGATAAACATTGTTATTAATTCCCTGCTGGGCCCTACCAGAGGCTGGCCATGCCACCCCTCAGCTCAGTTCTGTGCAAGTGAAGGGAGGGCTGCTCTAGCACCCCCCTCCCCTGCTTCTAGCCTGAGCCACTACAGGCATGCACCTGCATTTCTGGGATGTCTGTCTCATTACAAAACTGATTTGGCCTACCAGGTTAGACTAACCTGCAAAGATTGAATCAACTCAGGCTTTTTGAATGTGTGTCCCTAGCCAACAAGTGAATTACAGCTAATTTGGTTATTTTAGTACAGACTATCCTGCATTCCATTTGGTTCATTTGAACATGCCAGCCTTTCTCATTAGCAAATTTTGCTAGATTAGTTCATTAAGAGAATAAGAAATAGCTCAGGGAAAAAAATAAGGAAAAAAATGTATCAGCTTAGGTTGGATGAGCAGAACTGAGACATATCCAAGTTCTGATCTATGAGCTACTGCACATGCATGAACATTTAGTGGGGACAAGTTCTATTGGGATATAAAAGGACATGACTTATTTGAAGTCAACAGAGTTCATTTTCTTATATAAAGACTGAATTTGGCCCATTACAATGGTCACACTTCAAAGTTCTGACAGTTTGAGATATTTTAATAGCTATTTCCTATTTATAGACTCTGTTCTCAAACTAGCAAAAGTTTTTTTTCTGCAACAGCTGTTTGTCATGTGAGACAGGGTTTGGGCAGAAGGCAATTTAGTAGCAGGCACTCTGTTGTCATGGGAAGAAAGGGGATGATCTGAATTTCATCTAAAAAATTGCTCCCTGTGTTTACAGGAATGTTATACTTTGTTGAGGCAACACTCATACTACTGTTTAAAGAACATTTCACATTATGTTTGAGAGCCTCACGTTGTTGATACACAACCATGGTGCCAAAACGAGAAAAAGGGATTAGAGCAATAGAATTTAAAACAGGGAAGATTTTTTCAGGCTTCTGCCTGTCTGCTCTCCTCAGCCTCCTCCACAATTGTTGTCATCTCCTCCTCCTTTCATTTCACTGTGTTTGGCTTGGCAAATAAATAAAATTGCAAATGACAAACAAAATAAAGGGCAAGGGCACTGCTGCAAAGTTGCTCTTACTATGTGACTTAAGTTGGACCTCAGCTTCATGAAGCTTTTACGAACAGGCTCACATATGAAGTGCCTAGAGATAAGAAACATTCTGGTTTTTTTAAACCAGAGATGAAAAAAGTGTCGTAAGCCTCATGGCATTATCCAAAAACCACAGAAAATTAGAACCAATAGACCAGTCACTAACAAACAACGAATAAATGACTCAACTCGGAGCCAGAAATCTCTCTAAGACAGAAGGATCTTTTATTCCCTTCAAGATGAGAGCAGGATCATGCAAACTATTATTTTCTTTAAATATATTTTCAGAATTAGAGGTTGGTTCCTTTGTTTTTTTTAATTAGGTCATCTAAGAAAAACCTTGCATTGTATTTCAATACATTTCACTAAAGCAAAATTCTCCCTCACTTAAAGGTGAAATGGCAGCTAAGGCAAACAATTAATAAACTCCAACAAAAGATGAAAAAGCAAAAGTGCAAATGAACTAGTCAGGATAAGAAAGGAAATAATATGGAGACAAAGACTGATTTACTAAAAATTTTACCACGTACACTTAATCAACCTGATCTGCTAGCTACAGTACATAGAGGGGTATAGAAATAGCCCTTTTGGAGGCCTATAGAGCAGTTGCTCATACAAGCAATTTTTGGGAGGCAGAACTACTTATTTAAGTAATTGCTTCCTGATAGGCGTAAAGGGTTCTCAATTTGATCCTCACCCAGCAAACAGTGCTCCATGTAAGTGTCGTTAAGCATGCTCTTTTTCACAGACTCTGGAAGTCTCCATGTGTCTGATGAATGGAGTTGTTTTGATGTACCGAACAGACAATGGCAGAATGGGATGAGGAGGAAATCTGGTAACATTTGGAGGCTTATGTAAAAATAATGAAACAGTCCATGCTTCTGTTCCGGTTTCTTCTATATGCTGTTTTACTTAAGTTATGTATAAAATTAAACTCAAGATAAAGAGATCAGAGTTAAGTGGGACCCCTGATATGCCTAATGTAGCTCAGATGTGTAAATGTTTACAGCTTCAAGATCTTAGAGAGGTTAAACAATGACTGAACAGTTAATAAGTTCTACTTTCACTTACATACCTAACAACAACATCACTTAACTGTTTGTAACAGTTCTGGGCACAGTTCTCTGTGCATCTGAGCAGCAGACGGATAAATGTGACTGACGGCAGCCAGCCTATCAACACTTATTGAATAATAATTCTTTAAGCCTAAAGAATTTACATTCACCTCCACATCACCTCTGTGCCTTTTCCCACCTTCTACTCCCTCTCTGTCCTATGTGTTTGCACAGTAACTAGATTGGGTCCTGGTTTTGGCTTGGGACCTTAGTGTAAAATAATTAATGCTATAATAAAACATAAGAATAAGCTGAAAGTATCAAGGGCAAAACAAATCCCCCAGAATGTTAGCATATATACAGGTACATTACTTTAACAAGAAATAAATGACAAGTAATAAAACAACTTAAAGTTTTGGATTTTTTCTCCTATGCTGCTACATGTAATAATTAGCCAGTAATACACAATTCTAACCTTCTGGTAAATATGGCTTAGTTAATTCAGCCATCAATGTCAGGTATTCAATAGCTTATAAAACTAAGGGTAAATAAGACTACAATATTAATGCTTCTACCTTAACAGCATTTATGAAAAAAGGTACTTCTGCTTTGCTTGCCATGCCAATTCAGTTAGTTTGGGGCTGCCTCTTCCTCTGGAAAAAAGCTTACGTTAATGTAATTTAGAACAATTCACAGATTTTGGATGAGATTAAAATTATGTTATTTTATTTATTTAAAAAATGTATTTTAACCTGATTTCCCCTTATTGACTTATTACAATCAAAAGTAAAACTATGCTAGAAAAACAGTCATTGGGAAAACATGGTGTCTGTGAGACTTTGAACATCAGGGGATATTTGCCAATAGTCAGTGGAAGTATCTGCAACACTAATATATTCATCTCCTTGTTTTAAGAACTAGAAGTGCACTTTCATTTTAAATTTATTCTATGTCGCCAGATAAGTGCATTCATCCTCATCACCAGTGGATATATATAGTCAATTGATTCTCAGAGTTTCTTTATCATTTTTAGTTTTACATGTTACATCTTGTAAATTTTTGTCTCATAGAATAGGTGAATCTTTGCTGTTTAAACTGCAATTACCTTAGAGTTCAAGGAACTGCAATCAATGCCCCTAGTCTCCCTCCATTAAATTCGTATTGCGTATAATTTTCATTTGGATTGCAAAATACCCATTACCCATTTGGTCCCTCACTTCATGAACTTTAATCCCCAGCATATGCTGAGTTCCAAACTCAGAATTACAAAAATCAACTTGCTTAAAAAAATGTTATAACTCCAAAGTTGTTATTACATTTCCTGGCAGTTTGTTTCCACTATATCTTGCAACTTGCTCATTGACCTGCTGAAAATGATGTCATAAAGTGGCTTTATTTTTTCCACCTTCCTTTCTAAGAAAATAGTTTTTTCTTCCCTCAATATGTTGCTGCCTGATGTTCAAGTACACAGGAAAGGCATTAGTATGAACATTTAAACCAGAAATGGTACGGATTTTGTAAACAGCTTTCTTCTGCTATCTTCATATTTCTGCTGTAACAATACAAAAATGGGTTTCTGTAAAGATGGGGGAACTGCCTATTTAAATAGCTTTGGCAAGCTCTCACAAGAAGAAAGGCCCTGACTCCACGTTCTCCAACAGCACACTCACTTCCCTCCCAACTCTACAACATCAACAATACCAGAAATGAGGTGGAGCATGTTTCTCTCCTTCTGCAGCCTGCATTTGGCAGTCACTCCATGTTTGTATCTCTGGAAGCATTTCCAGGGTGTGCAGACCCAATGGAAGGACACGCTGAGGAAATAAGAAGTTCCTTTACTTGAACTCTTTTCCCAAACTACTCCTGGTTGCTTGATATATTTTATTTTTGTTTGATCTCTGTATGAGACTGATTGTGTGATTTCCCCTACAGGGCAGTTGTCCAGCTGCAAAGATCTTTACTGCTTGATGAAAACCTAAAATATTAAGTGTATGATGGGTCCTAGGAAGACACTTTTTAGCCCCTGATGTCATCACTGAAATCATGATTCTGAAGGCAAGTGCTCCTGTACACAGTGGAAGTCAGTGTTTTCTGTTACATTACGACAGTGGTTTTCAACCTATAGTCCACAGACCCTTTGGGGGTCTGTGGACTATGTCTGAAGGGTCCACAAACATGACTATGATCAATCAAAAGTGTGTGAATAGCTACACTTACAATTCAAAGGGGTCCACTGC